GCCCCCCCCCCCCCCGCCTTTTGGCCGGCGACCCCAGACCCAGTGACCCCCCCGGGGTCCATGGTGCTGCCCCCTCCCCATGTCAACATGCGCCCCCTCCCCCAAGCCTGTGGGACGGAGACTGCCAGGCGGGACCTGCCAACGGGCCACGCAGGCGGCGTCCTTAGCCCCTGCTTATCCCATGGCGTACGTGACCCCCAGCCTTGCCTGAGGCTCACCACGAGCCAGGTCTGAAGTTTGAAGAAAAAGAAAACTCTTTAAAAAAACAAAAAGAAAGAAAAAAGAAAAACAGGAGAAAGGACTTTTTTCCCTGAAAAACAAAAACAGATATGCATGGACTCCGGTGTAAGTGCTGTTCTGCATCCCCTGGGCGCAGCCTCGGAGGGAGCTGCCCGGGCCGAGGGCACTCACTCTGCCCAGCCCCTTCCGAAGGCCGCACCAAGACGGGCTGGGCGGGCCCGGCCTCCTGAGGAACTGGCCGATCCTGTGAGGGAGGCCACGGCCCGGCCACTAGCCCTGCAGGCCGCCCAGGGCCGCTTGCCGTCGCCACGCCTCCCGACGCTGGACCTAGAGCAGGGCTGGCGTCTTGCAGGGTGCGGGCGGCCTGGCGCAGCCCCGCGGGAGCGGGCTCACTCGGACATCCCAAAGACCTCCAGAGACCCCACCTCGTCCTTTGGAAATCACTTCTTTGATCAGCGTCTTGGGGCAGTCCTGGCCGCCCGAGCCACGTGCTGCACAGGGAAGGGTGTGCTCTGCTGGCCCTGGCCATGCCGCCTGGGAGGGTGGCTAGGCCTTAGCGCCTCCTGCCCAGGAAGCTGGCCCCTGCTCCGGGTCTGCCTAAGCGCTCTTGTCTTTTTGTGTGTCTCGGTGACTTCAGAAACAAACACACTGGACTCAGTGGCTACTGGTACTGTCTCCTCACACACTGAACTCGGGGAGGCGGGCAGGGGCGCAGCCTCGCCCGCAGCAGGAGCCCTCTGCGAAGCCGGGACGCTTCCCATTCTGATGAGATTTTAACAGAACCCTCCCACACACCTGCCGTGCCCTGGGACTGACTAGACGAGGCGGGAGTGCTGAGACAGCTGCAGCCCCACAGACGGCCGTGCCACACGTGCGATGCCAGAGCAGACCTGGGCCAAAGAGCTCTGCCCATGTCCGTTCTGCGGAGGTTCCAGGCCCAGGGGACCTGTGCTCGATGGATGAATGTAGACACAGCGAAACGCGTATGAAGATGTAAAGTGCTGAAAATATTTTTTCCTTTTTCCTTTTTTTAAATCTAAATCGTGCCCTGTACTGCAGTTGTTGGAATAAAAGTTTTATTTATTGCATCGAGTTGGGCTTGGCCCCTCCTTCCGGCTCCCAACCGCGCACCTGTAGAGCCTTCTGCAGGGCCCTCAGCGTCCTCGCTCGCACGCCGCCCTCCTGCTCGCTGACCACACCTGGGTGGCCCACCGCCCTGGCCGCCTACATGATGGGTTCACAGGTGACCTACCTGTGCTGGCGTGTCCCTCGGTGCAGGGAGGACAGGGCCAGCCCTGCAGGCCACATGCTCGAGGGTCTGGGTCTCCTCCCGGCTGCCTGCACCGGCCCCTGTCCATCTGGCCTCGGGTCTCTGGGGTCCTCAGACCCCTCCCTGCCCCTCCCTCCTCACCGACGAGCCTCGTGTTCCCTTGCAGCTCCGACACGGACGTGGCCAGACTTTGAGCCGCCCTGGCTAGTTAGTAAGTTGTGCTGGTGTCCGTTGCTGGTCACCGCTGGGCGGGGAGGACCTGGCTGCCTGGCAGGACCTGGGGTCTGCTGAGCCTGCCTCTTGCTCTGGCTCTGGGCCTTGGCTTTCTCTGGGGTCCCCTCGGGCTCTGGGGGCTCCTGCCACTCCCTGGTGCTGGGCTGGGTCTACCCCGCCTGTCTGCTCTTCCGCTGGGCATTTGGGTCACGGTCTGCGGTGACACCAGTGAGCAGCCACCAGCCGCGCCTTCCCCGCCTGACTGCACCGCACCCTGCTCGGACTCCTTGGGGTTCATGTCCTTGTACCCAGTGGGTAAGGGCTGGGGACCGTGGATGGGGTCCTAGGGATAGCCCAGGTGAGTTCCAGGGCATGCTGGCTGCACGTCGGCCCCACTGGGGTCCTGAAGGCTCTGCAGCGCCGCCACCCAAGCCCTGCTGCCCCATGTCACCCCAGGATGCTGTTCTGGGTATCCCCAAAGCAGGTCCTTGGCCATCATAAGGACACATGGGTGCCTCGCCGGCCCCTTGTGTGGCAGTCGCACCCTTCATCGTGGGCAGCAGGGGCGGGGGCCTGCGTCCAGCCCTCCCCCAGTCTCCCAGGACGGCAGCTGTGGGGAGTTGGTGTCCTCAGCCCTCACAGAGCCCCCAGCCAGGCCAGGCTGCAGGCAGGCCCCAGGCTCTCACTGTCAAGTGACTGCCCTGCCGGGGTGAGTTCTGGGAACTCTGGGAAGCTGTCGGAAAATGCTCCTGGTGTGGGCCTGCCCCGGTCGCCTAGCCCGCCCTCTCCTCCCCTGGCTCCGTTTCCCTTCCCTCAGGAGATATACTGATGGGAGGCCTGCCCTCTGGGGGCCTGCCCTCCGCGGCTGGGGGCCACACCACGTTCCGGGAGGCCGGTGGGCCTCTGCCGAGGACTGCGCCCTGGCGAGGGCAGCCCCAGGCCGGCCGGTGAGCCGTTTCCCAGGCACGGGCAACCTGAGCTCCCGCCTTGCTTCGTCCCAAGCTTGGGGCCTGGGTGGGGCTGGGAATGAGAAGGGAAGGACAAGCACCAGGCTACGCTCCACGCTCCCACGGGCTGAGTCCTGAGCTCACCTGACTCCGTTCAGGAGGGCCAGCCCTGCAGTGGTGGGAAACCACCCACGGAGGAGACGCTCGCTCCCCAGCTTCCGTTTTGCTAAGTCACATGAAGGGTCCAACCAGACACGGTCCTGGCCGGACTGTGCTCAGATGGCCCGTGGATTCAGAGAGGACCGTGGGCTGCCGGAAGCCCGCAGACCTCTGGGGGCTGGGAACCGAGCGCTGTTGGCTATAGGCTTGCAGGGGGCAGTGGGGCAGGACTCCTTGAGGTTTGCCTCCATTTCCAAACCTACGAGGCTTCTGCACCGGCCCCTCCCCTGGCAGCGCCGCCCCGCTCTGGGCTACGCCGGTGCTGCAGCCCTGCAGAGCCAAGGTCTGGTCTATGTGCCTGACCCACTGGTCACTGTGTCCCGGCAACAGCTGTCACAATGACTCTCGGGGAGTCAGGCCTTCCCCTCACGGTTCCAAGGCCAGAGTGCCGCCTCACCCAACAGGCCCGACCCTGGACGCCCCATGGGCACAACTGCTGGCTCTGTCCCTGGCCGACGGCCATCCCCGAAAGTAGTGCCAGCTGTGCCTCTGGCAGGGCAGGTGTCTGTGGGGTCTGCTCCCGAGGAGCCATGTGCAAAGATGGGACCTTGCTGTAGCCCCAGGCTCCATGTCTTGGGTTCTGGACCTCAGTGTTCAAATCCAGCCCCCACACCAGGGTGGCGCAGCCAGCTCCCAGTGCCTTTTTACTGTTTTAAAGAATTATCTAACATGGGACTAGCAGTTAGTGTAATGGCTATGTCGCTGGATTCCCACGTAGTGGACCGCGGTTCAAGTCCCAGACCTGGTGGCTTAAACTCACGCCATGTGCGTGCGTGCCCAAGATCCCAAGAGGAGAATGGAGGAGAAGGGAATGCGGCGTGGCCAGCCCCCCTGGGGGGTGATTTCTCGCTTTCTGTCTGTCTGTCTAGGGAGCGCACACGCCCTATAGCAAAAACCTCTCCAAAAAAAAAAGAAAAAAAAAAGAATTACTTAACATTACTTATCATCATTATTTAATTTGACTAAAGAGAGAGCAAGCCACCAGGTCCAGGACTTGAACTGCGGTTGGCAACTCCCAGGGACTCCGTGTCTGGGGGTCCTGCTGCCCACTGTCACCGCAAGCCAGCAGCCAACAGCGCTCGGTTCCCCGTTCACAGACGGGTGGGGGTGGGGCCCACGTGGGAGCCAGCACCTTTAACGTCATGCCCTGCCTGGCCACCCAGCAGTCCACTCAGTGTGGGCCTAGGGTCTTAGCAAGCCTCGGGCAGAGTGCTGGCCTGTGTGCCCGAGGTCACACTTGGCTTGTGCTGCAGCCTGCCCCTCCCCGTGTCCTAGGAACCTCAATGTGCATGACCAGAGGCCACGTTCTGGGTAGAGGAGACTGCTCCCGAGCCTGTGAGGGACTCCAGTCCAGCTAGCCATGCAGTTTTGCACTTTCTGATGAGAACTGGAGGGAGCCAGACAGGCAGAGTATACCCCACAAAGCCACTTCACCCTCAGCCCCCACCCTGGGGCCTCTGCTCTGTCCCCAACGATGAAGAGCAAAACCCACCTTCGCTTCCTACCTCCCAGACCCTCCCGCCCTGCCCTGACTGGGGACAGAGCAGGCCACAGAGCCCTTCTCAGGAGCCCAGAGTCAAGTTGGTGACAGGCAGGTGGGGCCGCGGTCGGGCTTGCTGGAGGGTCACATGCACGAACCCCCAAGCAGCCTGCACCTGGGCTGGCCCATGATGGGTGAAGCCCGCCCATGCAGGTCAGAGCCCGAGGGCAACCAGGCTCCAGCAGCAGGCCCCACGGCCGCACTGGGTGGGAGCAACAGGCGGCTCCAGTGCAGACGCAGACGCCGCCAGGTCCGGGCCCTTGGCAGCACCTACTCTTTCAAAAACTCGCCGTCCAGCGTGTTCCCGGATCTTAGAAAACGTGGCATTTCGGAACATCAGGGCACACTTCTTTCCCGCCCATCCCCTCCCGGGCAGCCAACCCAGCTGTGCAGACGCGCTGCGCAGGTAACGGCTGGAGCCGAAGCTTTGCCAGAGTGCAGTTCCAGCCCTGTGCGTCTCCCTGTCCACGTGTCCTATGCTGTCCCGCTGTCCTGTGCTGTCCCCACCCTGCTGGGCCCCCAGGCCTGACAGACCCCAAGAAGCAGCAGCCGCCCGTCCCATGCTCATCCTCTGTCCGCACCTCGTGTCTGCCGTCCTCTGCACTGGCCATGCGACGGGGGTGGCGCCCCGGTGCGGGTGCCCGTCTGTGCACCTCGTGTCTGTCTCCGTGTGCATCGGGGTCGTGCTTTCCTGGAGTCCTGCACGTGGGCTGGGCTGGGCAGGCATGCTGCTGCCCGTCCCAATGCAGGGCTCTCCTTGCAGGGGAATGGTGCTGCTCCTCGGCTCCTGCTTGGGGCTCGCCGGACTGTGGGGACCCCGCTGCAACTGTCCAGCACTGTCCTATGTCCTGAGCACAAGCAGCACCCCCTGCCGGACCTCTCGGCCATGCCAGCTGCGCCGCTCCGGGTGGCTCGGCTGTTGGAGGTGGGGTGTCTGCCTTGCCTGGAGCATGTTGGGGTAGGGACAGGGTGGTGGCGCGAAGGCCCACGGGCCTAGCAGACAGCGCCTCTCCCCATCCCCAGCAGGCTCCGCTGTCCAGCAGCTCAGGCTCTGAAGTTGGCCGTGAGCACAGTGGTGTCCAGCATTGGTCCCCGAGCCCAGGGCGGCCGGGTGGCCCACTGTCACCAGCTAACTCTGCTCTCCTCTCTTCTCAGGAACCCCTTTGCCAACGTCCAGCTGAAGCCGACAGTGACCAACGACAGGTCTGCCCCGCTTCTCAGCTGACGGCCACGCCCGCTTCGCTGCCCCCAGCTCCTCGCTCCCCACATTGGCACTCCTGTACAGGGAACCTCAGGATCCCCGCTGCCAGCTCTGCCCCATTCTCTCTGGCCTGGGCCGGATCCTGGCTGTTCTGGGGAGGCGGCATCTGTGCAGGGACAAGGACAGGGAAGGCGGTCCTTGGGAGGCGGTTCTTGGGAGGCTCAGACTTGCCTACGCTCCTTGTCACGAGGCCAGGAAGCCCCTGATGCCAAGAGGGCATTTGCCCATTTGTACCTGGGAAGGAGTCCAGCGGCCTTTAGCACCCACACACCTGACCAATAAACGGGCTGCCCACCTGTGCGCAGGGCGTGATCTGTCGCCTGGGGAGGCCTGGGGCATGGGGTGGAGCCCACGCCCTCGTTTGGAAGATCAGTTTACGGGAAGCTCTTCCGTCCCCTGTAGGCCCTGCCCATGGCTCTGCTGGGTCCCCGCCCCTGTCCCTGGGATAGGGGCCACAGACCTGTGCACCCAGTGGCAGGCTCCCAGGCAGGCCCCCCTGTGACGGGCCCAGCTGCCACTTTGCTATCAGTCCCGTGCTGACATTTCTGGGCGAGCCGTGTTGGTGGCAGCAGTCTATGTGGGAGCTGTCCCGGGCAGAGCTCCGTCCCCAGAGCCTTGGGCCCACCTGCAGCTGCCATGCCCCAGCCAGGCACGCTTGCAGGACTAGGGCTCCTTCAGGCCTTCCACCTCACCCCCCGCAGGCCCAGGCAGGGCAGGGCCACTCTCAGCACACTTCCCAAGGCCAGGCCAGGGACAGGAGTGGGTCACAGGGAGCAGCGGTCCCTACCGGGCACCACGGGGACCACGGGGCTGGACACAGGCTCCCTGAGGACAGTGTGAGGCAGCTGGGTCCTGGCCTCCAGTCCCCATAGAAAACACACTTAAAAGCAGGGATTTTTTTAAGCTTGGTTCTCTTTAAAAAAACAGAAACAGAAACAGGAACACATCATTGCACCGCACACACCAGCGCCGAGCCCCACCGAACAATGCACTCTCCGTCTCTTTGGCAACAGTAACTTAAACTCACCCCCCTGTGCTCCAGCAACAGCACTACAAACGTGCCTGGGCTGCCTGCCGCCCACCCCGCCCACCCCCCGCCAGCACAGCCCTGCAGGCAGGAGCCCCACGCAGTGCAGCGACCCCCACTTCCCTCAGGCAGCTGGGTGCTGGGCGGGCAGTGCCCTGCACCACCCTGCCAGGGCCCATCTGGAATGGCTACAGCGGCAGGGGAGCCACAGAACCCCTCCTTCCCAGCTGCCCCCCGCCCTCATGGCAGCCCCAGCTGTGGCAGCGGGACCAGGCAGGGCAGCCCAGAATCTGGGCAGTGAGGGAAGCAGCAGCCGTGCTGAGGTGAGGGCAACAGGGACAGAGCAAGCCCGTCACATCTCGGGGGCCTGTGTCTCCCCATGCCCGGCCGGGGGCAGTGTCCTCCGAGCACACAGATGGAGCCAGCCGGGCAGGGCACGTGGGCCACACGGCTAAGAGCAGGCCCAAGAGGCCTGAGAGGCCAAGCAGCCAGGGCAGGGCAGCCGCATGGGGGGGCCACCAGGTCCAGGTGCGGCCCCCAGAGCGTTTGCATGTGCACGTGTGCACAGACACCGCGGGCCCATGGCCCCACAGACCAGCATCCCAGGGGCCAGCGGCCAACCCGAGTGTCCGGGAGGAGTCCTGGCCCAAGGCGGTGCCGGGTCCGGCCTGCCCACCAGCTTCTCCAGTACACGCGTGACAGCATGGTGCTGGAACCTGCTGCCAGGCCGTGGTGCCCACTTGCGCTGGCCACCGTCCTCACTGCCACCCAGGCATAGTGGGCAGGCCTCCAACAGCACCAGCCTGAAGACGCGGGAACCGCCGGACCTCACACCTCTTCGCACACGCTCCTGGGGCTTGCAGAGCCTGGCAAACAGGAAGTGCCTCGTGAGCGTGTGGCGAAACCAGGACTTGGGGCCTGGGACCCC